GTGTGTGTGTGTGTGTGTGTGTGTGTATATGTGTGTGTGTGTTTGTGTGTGTGTGTGTGTTTGTGTGTGTGTGTGTGCTGCCCTCTACAGGACACACACCAAGGCAAAACTATTTCATTAATATTGCATATTTCATGCACAGTGGTCAATCAAATTGTTTTACATAAAATTATTTAATAAGAAGAGAAAGGTAACAAATAAAGATAAAAAATGAAAGACAAAAAAACATTGGATGATGGCACTGAATGCCAAGAGTGAGGGTTTGATTCCCAGGAAATGCATAGAACCACAAAAACAAATGCTTTGAATATAATGCAAGTGGCTTTTGATAAAAGCATCTTCCAAATGCATGAATGTAAACAATATATACAGGCAGTATATAATAGTCTAAATATGCTGTTATAAGTTTTCTGTGAGGGTTACGGCAGTTTTTGGGGTAACGCGTTATGAATTACGTAATCAGATTACTTTTTTCAAGTAACTAGTAAAGCAACACATTACTTTTAAATTTACAACAAAATATTGGAGTAACTTTTTCAAATAATTAATGCATGTTACTTTGTTTTCCCATTTATTGACTGAGAAATTATGAGCGAGATACAGAGACAAACTCTTCCTTCAGCCTTACTTAGTTACTTTTTATGGAGTAATGCAACATTGTAATGCATTACTTTTAAAAAGTAACTTTCCTCAGCACTGGGTTACGTAGATATAAAAACATACTGAATATTATGGTGTTTTCCCATTTTAATAGCAGGTAATGAATGTACTGAATGGTATGAGTATGAATCGGGAGGTTGAACTAACAGGAAGAAAAATCACTGACTTGCAATTCCCAGAAAGTCAACACAGTCACACAACAGACCGATTTCATTAGTCACAACAGCACAATAATAACACGGGTAATTTCATTCGGATATTGCTAGTAAATTTTCCACATATTTTCACATACTAAGAACACCCTAGCAACCATATAGCAACCATTAACATGACAGAAACTGCATAACTGCACATTTACAACTGAAAAATTAAAGTTAATTTAAATATATACATAAATTACATAAACACCTATAGGAGACATTCCAATCATCAGTGATTAAAACTGTATACTGTTTCTTGAAGAAGCCTATATGTTGTGTGTAAGAACATGTGTATGTACTTCACACATACATACTGATATACTCTTACAGCAGATGCATTTTAATTCTGCTTCCTTCAGTTCAAATTTGAAGTATGATATAGATAATATTGTATCCTGTTTCCTGTATTGGACCTTTAATAGCAGTCTGATATACACATATTACAAACACAAACAACAGTCTAAGTGAGCATGAATCAGCTTGTATAACAGACTGTGTAAGAGACTGATTACTAAAGGTGACTAGTGCAAGAAACATGATGCAATATTAATGCAATAATACATTGACTGACTGTGTCGTCCAGTTCATTGTTTGTGTGTGTGTGTGTTTCTGCTGATACTTTTATGGTTTCATTTTCAGAACACCCAGCAACTGCATAGCAACTACCCAGAACACCCCAGCAACTGCATAGCAACTGCTCAGAATACCCTAGCAGCCGCATAGCAACTACTTAGAACACCCAGCAACCACATAGCAACTACTTAGAACACCCAGCAACTACTCGGAACACCCCAGCAACTGCATAGCAACTACTTAGAACACCCCAGCAACCTCATAGCAACTACTTAGAACACCCAGCAACCACATAGCAACTATTTAGGACACCCCAGCAACTACCCAGAACACCCCAGCAACTGCATAGCAACTGCTCAGAATACCCTAGCAGCCGCATAGCAACTACTTAGAACACCCAGCAACCACATAGCAACTACTTAGAACACCCAGCAACTACTCGGAACACCCCAGCAACTGCATAGCAACTACTTAGAACACCCCAGCAACCTCATAGCAACTACTTAGAACACCCAGCAACCACATAGCAACTATTTAGAACACCCCAGCAACTACTCGGAACACCCCAGCAACTGCATAGCAACTAATTAGAACACCCCAGCAACCACATAGCAACTATTTAGAACACCCCAGCAACTGCATAGCAACTACTTAGAACACCCAGCAACCACATAGCAACTATTTAGAACACCCCAGCAACTACTCAGAACACTCCTGCAACCGCATAGCAACTACTTACAACACCCTGGCAACCATTCATTAAACTGAACAAATCACATTCCAGATCATTTCAATCTGAATTCAGTTCCGTTTGTTTGTTAAATGTGAATCAGGAAGAATGACTGAGATACAGACTAATCAGATCATGTGATCTAGAGAGAAACTGATGAGAAAAGTCTTGAGTTTTGACTTTCGATTGCAAACTCTGGAGGCTTTCCATTTAATCTCATTCTTGATTTTTCACACTTTATGTTTGAGGTTGATGTGAAGTTTAGACAAAATGTCTTTAGGTTATTTTGTGTTCTTATTCTCACAATATTTCAATGCTCTGAATGTAATGAAACGTCTCTGGAGAGGGAGATTTGAGTCTGAAACTCAGAGTTGAAATGTGTGAGAGAGAGAAAGCAGAAGTGACATATCTCCTCCGATCACACCGTTTCCTCTCGCAGTTACACAGCGGAAGACGCCACTTCCTCAAAAAGACACAACACGCTCCTCGCAAACACCTCCGACTGCGCGACGCAGGTAAACACACGTCTGCGTCCGTCTGTGCTCCGCTGCCATCGGGATGGAGGCGTTCAGTTCGAAGGACATGGCCATGAAGGCCCAGAAGAAGATCCTCAGTCACATGGCCAGTAAGTCGATGGCTCATATGTTCATCGATGACAACAGCAGCGAGGTTCTGGACGAGCTGTACCGCGTCTCCAAGGAGCACACGGGGAACCGCAACGAAGCCCAGAAGGTGGTGAAGAACATGATCAAGATCGCCGTGAAGGTGGGGGTTCTGTTCCGACATGGCAAGTTCAGCGCGGATGAGCTGAGTGTGGCGCAGGACTTCAGGAAAAAACTCCACCACGGAGCCATGACGGCCATCAGCTTCCAGGAGGTACAAACACTCGCATTCATCAGTCATATTTACATGCTAACGGTGTATTATAAGACTATCAGCAGTAGCAGTGCTACTGCTGATAGTCTTAAAGTTCAGTGTGTTCATCGTCCTGCAGCGTTTGTGGTGTCATTTCACACCAGCCAGGAAGAAACCACTTAGAAACCATCAACAGTAACCTAGCGGCCACATAGCGACTACTCAGAACACCCCAGGAACAGCATAGCAACTACATAGAACACCATAGCAACCACTCAGAGCACCCTAGCAACTGGGTGTTCTATGTAGCAACCGCATAACAACTACTCAGAACACCCCAGAAACTGCATAGCAACTACAAAGAATACCATAGCAACCACTCAGAGCACCCTAGCAACTGGGTGTTCTATGTAGCAACCGCATAACAACTACTCAGAACACCCCAGAAACTGCATAGCAACTACAAAGAATACCATAGCAACCACTCAGAGCACCCTAGCAACTGGGTGTTCTATGTAGCAACCGCATAACAACTACTCAGAACACCCCAGAAACTGCATAGCAACTACAAAGAACACCATAGCAACTACAAAGAACATTATAGCAACCACTCAGAGCACCCTAGCAACCACACAGTGACTACTCAGAACACCCCAGGAACAGCATAGCAACTACACAGAACACCATAGCAACCACTCAGAGCACCCTAGCAACTACATAGCAACTATTTATAACACCCTAGCAACCACATAGCAACCACCCAGAACACCCTAGCAACTGGGTGTTCTATGTAGCAACCGCATAACAACTACTCAGAACACCCCAGGAACAGCATAGCAACTACACAGAACACCATAGCAACCACTCAGAGCACCCTAGCAACTACATAGCAACTATTTATAACACCCTAGCAACCACATAGCAACCACCCAGAACACCCTAGCAACTGGGTGTTCTATGTAGCAACCGCATAACAACTACTCAGAACACCCCAGAAACGGCATAGCAACTACAAAGAACACCATAGCAACTACAAAGAACACTATAGCAACCACTCAGAGCACCCTAGCAACTACATAGCAACTATTTATAACACCATAGCAACCACCCAGAACACCCTAGCAACTGGGTGTCCTATGTAGCAACCGCATAACAACTACTCAGAACACCCCAGAAACGGCATAGCAACTACAAAGAACACCATAGCAACTACAAAGAACACTATAGCAACCACTCAGAGCACCCTAGCAACTACATAGCAACTACTTAGAACACCTTAGCCACCACATAACAACCACCCAGAACACCCTAGCAACTGAAAAATGTCTATCTCTCTCATGTCATGTCTCTCATCTTGAACTTTGTTTTTTTTTTGCATCTTCAGCTCTCTGTTTTTTATGGAAGCCCATTTCCGCCACTGAATAAAAAAATAAAGATAATTGCAACTTTTTATCTAGTCTTTTTTCTCAGAATTGCCTGATACAAACTCGCAATTCTGACTTTTTCCCCCTACGAATTGTGAGATATAACCTAGCAATTCTGAGAACATATTATTTTTCTTCTTCTCAGAACTGGACTTTATAACTCGCAATTGTAAGTTTATATCTAACAATTCTGAGAAAAAAAGTCAGAATTGTGAGATAAAAAGTCGCAATAACCTATTTTATTCAGTGGCGGAAACAGGCTTCCATAGTTTTTCTGCTGATGTTCTATTCTCAAGAGTTAAGAATAAGGACTCTTATTTACACACTTTTTTTTTTTTTAAGTGTTCCTCCTTTTTGAGTCGCTCTGAATAAAAGTGTCTGCTAAAAGCATGAATGTGACTGTATAATAAGGAGCGTGCGTATCTGTGCGTCAGGTGGAGTTCACCTTTGATAAGAGCGTGATGATGGAGCTGCTGGCCGACTGTCGTGATTTACTGCTGAAGCTGGTGGAGAAACACCTGACGCCCAAATCTCTGGACCGCATCAGACACGTGTTCAACCATTACTCGGACCCGGAGCTCCTCACGCACCTGTACGACCCTCAGGGCACGCTGTGGCCCAACCTCGGCAAGATCTGCAGCGGCCTGAACCGCATGATCGAAGAGGGCAAGCTCTGAACACAGAGCTGGACTGAAAGACTGGACTTCAGAGCTTCTGGACCTGTGCTCGCAGAGATACTGAGCTCAGGGACGCAGTGAGACGCTCCTGAACGCATCCCTCGAGTCTGTTCGGCGGATTCGCGCAAACATGTCAAAAACACGTGCAGCTCATATTTCAAAACCAACTCAGAAGGACGATTTAAAGGGACAGTGCACCCAAAAATCAGCATTCTGTCATCGTTTACTCACCCTTCATGTTATCGAACAACTGACTTCTCAGCTAACAGGGAACGTTCTAGCAAGGTTCTGAACTAACATTCTTCCAGCAACGTTATTAGAACGTTCGTACAATGTTTTCTGGTCTTTAATAACATTCTCAAAGCCATTTATATATCATTCATGGAACGGTTTTCTGAAACATTTGGTTGAACTTTTTTAAACATTACTAGTTTGAGATGGTTCAGAGAACGTTCAAAACTAATGTTCTCATGATGTTTACAAAATGTTTTTTTTTCATTTTTTAAATACTGGAAGGTTCAGAAAACATTTGCTTACAGGGAATGTTAGCAAAACGTTCTTAGAACATATTTTTCTTAGCTGGGTTTCTTCTGTGGAACACAAAATAAGATTTGTTTTTTTTTTTAAATGAAAGTAAATGGGGTCCAATAAAATACATTTAATGTTCAACAGTCATACAGTTTTGGAACAAATATATGATGACAGAATGATGGTTTTTGGGTGAACAATCTCAATCTCAAAAATTATGCATAAAGAAAATTAATTCATTTTAATATGATTAAGTTTTTGTTTTTAACATTATTTTCACCCATGAAAATGACCAGTATTCACCAGTAAAATAATTCATTACGGTTTTCCTCTTTTGTTCAAAAGCAGCAGTATTAGAGTTGAAAACAGAATGGAGCATCTGAATGGATTAAAGTTTAATAATAAAGTATTGTTTTGTTTCAAATATTCTCTACAGAAGCCTTTTGTTCATCTGGTCTATCTTTTTGGCACCGGACGTCATCTCAGTAATTTAACTTCTACTTCAGCTGCAGATCTGAGAACATATTTTAAAGCTGAAATTTGCTGAAATGTGTTCACCCTCAGGGCATACAAGATCAGGATGAGTTTGTTTCTTCGTCAGGTTTGTAGAAATGTAGCATTGCATCAGTGTCTCAGCAATGGATGCTCTGCAGTGAATGGGTGCCGTCAGAATGAGAGTCCAAACAGCTGATAAAAACATCACAATAATCCACAAGTAATCCACAGCACTCCAGTCCATCAGTTAACATCTGGAGAAGACAAAAGCTGAAACTAATCCAGCATTAAGACATTTTTAACTAAAATACGAGTCCATAATAATGCTTCCTCCAGTGAAAAAGTGCATCTGCTGTGGTCTCTCGCATCAAAATCCAGCCACATATTTGTTTAGAGCTGTTTAAACGCTGCTTGATCTCTGCAGATTTCTCTCCAGGGATAGCCTGAGGGTGAGGACATATTCAGCAGATTTTCATTTTTGGCTGAACTGTTCCTTTAACACTACCAAGAAAATGCATTGAGAAAGTGAACTTATTTTATATCGACTTTAAATAACCTATTTCTGCACGTTTAATATGATCACACATTTGTTTTGCAAGATAAGTACTGAAATAAGAGGCAAACACTATTGAATTCTTTATTGCCATTTCTGGACTGAAAAACCTAGAAAAATACAAAATCAGAAATCAGAAAATGAACAGCTGAGAGCCAGTGCTGGTGATGTGAACAGAAACCAGCAGCTGAATCGGTCCTCCAGAGTCACTCAGTTAACGAAGCTTTGAATCACTCAATATGATTCAGTTGACACCTGTACAGTAACACTTCACTATACGGTCTCATTTGTTCACATTATTTAATAGATTAGCTAACACGAACTAAAAATGAGCAATATATATATATATATATTAGTGCTGTCAAACGATTAATCACGATTAATCGCATCCAAAATAAACGTTTTTGTTTGCATAGTATATATGTGTGTGTACTGTGTTTATTTATTATGTATATATAAATACTTACACATGCATGTATATATTTAAGAAAAATATGTTA